AATAAGTCATAAAGAGCTGTAAAATGTTAGGTTTAATGGAATATAATGAGGATCAAGTAAAGACGTTATTGGAAAATGAATGAGATAAGACATTGTGAAGTGGTATTTAAAGATCAGTCAATGGACAGCAAGTTAGTTTATAAGATGCCCCATAAATCTGTGCACATCCCACATGGTCGCATCTCAACAATAGGCTGGGCGAATAGTATATATTTAGAGGTAGAAGCATGATCTGTCAAGGCGTTCATTATTATCTTTTTCAAGATAAAGATCTAAGCCCTCATAAAAATCAGAAATATCTCGAGCCTTTAATTTGCATATTGCTGTTCCTGCAGAATGGGGCGATTCACCTTAGTGACCACCACCATATCTACTGATCAGCTAACGCCACCCTCCCTCCTTTTTTGATGTTAAGCTCTGAGACTATGATTATTATGGCTACCGCAAATATATTGCTTGGTACCAGACATGTTCGTACCTCATATTCCATCTCCCTAGCTTTCTTAATGAGTGCTTCCAATAGGTCTCCGCGTACATCTTTATGAACATTATATATGTATGCATGCGTCCTAATGAACAGATTACTTTACAAGAAGTTAGAACCTTAAAGAATAAAAAGAATAGGTTTTGTGAATAGTGAAGCAAGATTCAGCAGAACAATATAGTTAGGGATCAATGTAGGTAGTATGAACTGAAGGTAAGGTCGGTTGGCAGGACTTAGTGTACTAAATTATCATGACAGTCTTATATATAGTGAACATTTGACATTGCAAAGTAACCTGTCTACATATATTATAAAAAGATATTAACAGAACCAACAAAATTTCAGCATTTGTTTAACAATACTACAGAAGGGTAGTTAGTACTACAGGTAGTCGTAAAGTAAATCAATCTATGTATAATAAGAGCATAGTCAGTGTCATAATTCGTATTATCAAAGAATACATTAGGCTCAATAACTGAGTGTTATAAGGGAAACAAGCATGGTAAAGCAAGAGAACACTTGCCGCATAGCTATTTTAATCATTTTAAGTATTTTAATGACAATCGAATTTCAAGTATTGAACCTACATAATTACTAAGTGTTATTATATTGGTATTGGGACTAGTGTACTTTCCGTAGTTAAATATTGAAAAGCCATTGTCTCTCCACTCTACCAGCAGTTGAGATCTTTGAGGCGGGCTAGGGTGGACATGTTTATATGTTTTTCTAGGCTCCTTTTGAAACTGTCAGGCCTTTCACAGGATCTTATCTCAGAGGGTAGTTGGTTCCAAAGTTTGCAATATTTAATGGTGAAGAAGTTAGCTCTAGTGGTGAGTTTATGGGTGTTAACCTTGAGAAGGTAGTTGTGGTTGCGTAGTCCATACGATTTAGGATTAGCCCAGGTTATGGACGAGTTACTGTTACAGTGCTTTCTTATAACTTTGAATAAGAGAAATAAATTGCACTTCACTCTCCTTAACCATAAGGGCTCTAAGTCCAGTCGAATACATCTGTCAAGGTATTCTATTTGCTGACCATAGCCTAATATGCGTTTCGTAAGGAATCTTTGGACACTTTCAACTTTTTTCTGTCTGCTGACTTGAAGCTACTGTATAAGTGGGCACAGTATTCAAGTTTGGGGCGAATGCATATCTTATATATGGCTAATCTGGCTTCTGGAGTGTAAAAGTTGCGTAGCACAAAGCCGGTTAGACGTTTACAATCAGATACCACCTTATTTGCATGTTCAGTAAAGGTAAGATCTGAGTATGTTATCCCGAGATCTGTGACTGTGTTTGTGTTTGAGACAAGGTCACCGTACATGTATAGACACATGCTAGGTTTCCAACGTCCGAAGTATGTTATCCCAGATTTAGCTGGATTGAACGTTAACTGCCACTTTTCACTCCAATTACATAGACTATTTAGGTCTTCTTGGATTTTACTAACAATATTCATATCATTATAGTCAAAATCATAGACAACTTTGAGGTCATCTGCAAAGAGGTATGGCTTGCCATACTTGATCATAGAGACAATATCATTTATGAATACAATGAATAGGGTAGGGCCAAGAACACTACCTTGTATCACGCCGCTGGTTATCGGTTTGGATGTTGATAAGTGATGGTTGACTTTAACTAACTGTTCTCTTCCTGTAAGAAAGGAAGTTATCCACTCAAGAAGCCTTCCACTTATTCCATAAGATAGGAGTTTCAGTATGAGTCTTTTATGTGGGACTTTATCAAAAGCTTTCCTAACATCTAGAAATAATGTTGCTGCCGAACGACCTTTGTCTACACATTCAGTAATGTGGTCGAAATAATCTAACTGGCACGTAATGCACGATCTTCTATTTAGGAAACCGTATTGGAAAGGGGATATTAAGTCATTCGAGAGCAAATACTGAACAATTTGCTTCTTTACAATCTTTTCCATCACACGTGAAACTACGGAAGTAATGTTGATGGGGCGGTAATTATCTATGTCCGCTGTAGGTCCGGTTTTGTGAATGGGTACAACGTAGGATTTCTTCCAGCTATTTGGATATGTTCCACTCCTTATCGAAGTTGAAAATATCTTGAGAAGAAGTAGATTCATGTCATTTCCACCATTTTTTAAGAGGACGGAAGACATTCCATCTGGGCCGGGAGTATTAGTAAGCTTAAGAGTTGTGATAGCTTTATCGATTTCTTGGGCGTTTAAGACTACATCGCTTAGACACTTTTCTGTTTTACGAGGGAAATCTATATCCTGGTCATTTTCTAGAGTGTACAGTTTGGCAAAGTGCGTGCTAAACACCTCACATATATCCTCAGCACTTTCGTGAGTAATGCCACCTAGGTGTATTATTTTTGGATATGTTGATTTGGAGTTAGTTAACCTACTTTTGAAGAGTTTGGCTATTTCTCCAGTGTTATGTGGCGACTGAATTGCCCGCGTTTCTTTATTCCTAAGACTTAGATTTTTTAACTCATGGATTCTAATGAGGATTGTTTTGATAGCGATTAACGACGATAAGTCGTCATGTCTATAGTAACTTAATGAATGCTTCCGCAAACTTCTTCTTAATGATATTGGAATAAAATCACCTTGAGGGATTTTGAATTTAATCAGTTTCACAGGCGCTATGACATCATTAACCGACTGTATATTGTCATAGAAGTTTTTAAGGACTTCCTCTAAGGAGTCATTGGTAAAGTAGGAATCCCAATTAGAGTATCTAATCAAGTCCTGATACAAGTCCCAATCAACCCGCGTGTATGGTCTTATAGGTGTCCGACTAACTTCGTTTCTGTGTATAGTTTCTGGGGAAATGTTAAACGAACATGCAACTATTTTATGATCGCTACCTGGGAATTCATGTCCCACATGAATTGTAGATGGTGCTACGTTGATCGTGAATATAAGATCAAGAATGTTATTGGACCTAGTGGGTACATTTATGTGTTGCGTCCATCCTCCAGTAATGATGGAATTAAGAAGATTATCATACCTCGAGGGTCCACGAAGTGTACGCCATGATATATCAGGCAAATTGAAGTCACCTCCAATTATATTATAACTGAAGGGGAGATTGGATGCAACACTAAATATGTTGCTGAGTACGTTATCGTATTCGCGGTTGGATGATGGCGGTCGGTATACGCACCCTATAAGGATAGGTTTACTTCTGAGAACTTTTATTTCGACCCACACCGAATCATTAAGTTGTGACAGAATAGGGTGACTAAAATGCGTTGCACAAATGGGTTGTTTAACGTATATGAGTGTTCCACCCCCACGACCTGTTTCCCTATCCCCTCGAAAAAGATTGTACTTATCAATTGATAAGCTACCATCCACAATGTCACTTGAGCACCAGGCTTCAGTGATCATGATCAGCGACGGATTGCATATAGAGGCTAACGTACATAATGCTAAATGTTTGTTAAGAACTGATCTAGCATTTATGAGGATGACGGATAGACTTTGACGAAGTGGTTTTAGTGTATGGGCAATATCATAATAAAATACTCTATGGTTATCAACTGAATATGTGCAGTCGTTATTGGATTCATTAATTACAACATTTTGATCACTAGAGACGGTTTCTTTAATTTGATAGTTAGGGATGGGTTGTGAAATGTCACTCGTGAGTAGTTGGTCGTTTAGATATTGCGTGCTATGGGAGATACTAGTATGATAATCTATGGTATTACTATTGGTATTAGGTGTGTATAAGATGTTTGCTATCTTTCGGGGAAGAAGCAGTTTCCCTGTTGTAAGGTGTTCGCTATACCAGCAAGGAATTGGTCTGATATCATGCGTGCTATGTGCATGATCCCAGGCGTTTCTGCCAGTTGTCGCTGGAGAAAATTTTGGTCATATGGATTGGCTAGTGTCGTGTAATCTGCATAGTTATAACCGAAATGTGTGATCGGCGTGTTGTTGTGTGCATATGACTTAGATCCCTGTGTCTGATTAGAGTACTTCCTAGGCCATGATGAGCATTGTGCTGAAATTGGCATGTGACCCCTACTGAATGCATGAGAATTATGACAGGGCACTATACGCGTTTTTGGACTAACGTCTGTATTCTCAAACTGATGTTTCCTGTACATCATGGTTGAGGGTGCATTCGTGAGGGGTTGAGCAACTTCGTGTTTTCGAAGTGTTTGGTGAGATATGTGACGATTGTTTTTTCTTATCATAGGACTGGTAGTGGAAGTCGGAAATGATTCAGCTCCTACGGTATGTGAATTACGTCTAACTTCAGGAACATGACTAAGTTTAGATGATTGTCTATCAGTAGAATGAGCCAGTGACCCATTTGAAACTTTCCTACTTATGGGCTTTAGTGTTCCGGGTCTAACGTTTGGTTTAGCTTTATCCGTATTAGTCGGCCTGTATAATTTGGGCTGCTGGTGATTAGTAGGATTTCCTAATAAACTGGATTTCTGATGAATAGTCTCAACAGTTTTTTTGGTGTTCCTAACGGAAATAGGACGTTTATCATAACGCCTTGTATTTACACCTACCTGGGTGGCCACATGTGATTGCTGCTTCACAGTAGCCGGGCTAAGAGGTTGTGAGGTATATGACTTCCCGAGAGATTCAAAGTGTACTACTGAATTCAGCTTAGACTTTTTCGAGGGTTTGGCATTAGTGCCAGTGTGCAAGGGATGCACGTCAATACTGTGATCTGTTGACATTTCTATGTCTGAAATTTCAGTATTTCGAGCTAAGTCTTCAACAGTTGCTTGACTACTGTTAGTTTGTGTATGCGATATTATCTGGTGCTCTTGGTCATCAGGCAATACAACGAGGGAAGTATTAACATCGGTTGTCTTATTGGGGTTGTCTTCCCTCAGTTTACCTGCGCGGCAACGTCTTTGGCAAGAAGTTAAATCAGGTACAATCCTGATATTGGTGTAGGGTGTTGAGGAGCCAAGAGTTTTGCCAGACTCCAAAAATTTCTTAGCTAGGTCAATAGACTTAAATTTGAAGAGTACAGGACATGGGTGGTTTGCGGATTTCTTACGAAGACGCAGAACCTGGCAGTCAGATACTGAAATGTTGCATGCCTGTAGACAGATTGCTTTAAGTTTGATAATAGGTACATTGTCTGGTATATTATATCCTAAAACATTGTATGAGGACATGACCCTCTTTACAGCCTCTGCAGTCAAAAAGTCTAGCAGGCGCTCAGATTTGAGGAGTGAATCTAAGCAAATTTCTTGTGATGGATCACAAAGTTGGAGGAAAGGAGTGATACTTTCGAACTTATCCTGCAGGTCTGTTATGGATTTCTGAAGGATCTTTAGATCACTAGTGTTACGGGCTACGTTATCGATTAGTTCTTCCATTAAGTTTGGTACTATAACTCTCGGTGTATCAATTGATCTTAGTACAAATTCATCGTCAGGACTAATGTTTCTAGTGACCTGCTGACTATTTGATGCTAGTCTCTTAACAGTACTAACTCGTTTAATAACTTTGACCATTATGGAGGTAAAGATTATAAAAATTTCTCAAAAATTGACAAAAGTGTGTGAAATACTGTTATATTATCTAAGTAGATAAAAACAACAATAAACAGGTATGAATGTATGAAGTACGAACTAAAAATAGACCACTATCAAACGAGTTAACTCTGACAGTTATAAACAACAAAACTAAGGACTTCTCTATAGTTCTTTTGTGATAGATTGCTCTTTATTAACACGAATCTGACTGGATCCAAACAGTATTCTGGAGGTGATAAATTTGGATATTTAGCTACCGGAGGTGCAACCAATATCAGCTATAATTATATAGTAGTCAAATATAGACCACGATATTCCAGAATTCGAAAAGATATTTCCACGTTATATGGAGAGATTGTAACGTCCTACACGAAGCGCCCGGGTTCCCATTGTCCCTAGACGGTGAAACATTAACATCAACCATATCGTGCTCAACATCAAACACATCGTCACATGTAAAAGACAAGTCAACATTAATTACTTTCCTGCCTGGTTCCAAGACGCTCTGTCCCTTCTTTGAGCAAGGCATCACTGAACGTCGGTGGCACAGTGGTTAGGACTCTCGAAGACCATGCATATGGTTCGGGGTTCGAGCCCACGCCGACGCACACCTGATACCTATGGTCGGCCTGCGAATTTCGGGCTACCGATATCCATGCTGAAAATTCCACACTTGAACCAAAACTACGGTGTGGAGTTAAGATGTAATCAAAAATAAAAAATAAAAAAACTAAGAATAAAAACGTAACCAAAATTTCAGAAAGTTCCAGATAACCCTTGTTCAAAGAGGACTTGGCCAGCACCAGGAAACACAAAAGCAAACCATCCAAACACTATCAGAAACTGTCAGCCAAGTCACATAAACTGTCAATGTCCAGCTGCTCCTACGCCGCACCTCACGCTGTCCCTCGAAGACTTTCAGAAACGCTTTGTATTAACCAACGCGAAAACCAGAATACTGATTGGCGACTCAAGAATCCTTTATTCTAACGCCAATATGCAACCAACAATGAGGTTATTATACACATGATCTAAGAATAAATTTTATAACAATAAATCACGATAATAATTCTGATAGTTTTTGTCTGTCTTCCAACGAACAGCGAAAGATGAAACGATGACTGCAGTATCGACGGCTCCCGCCAAAACATAGAGTTGGGTTTGAGAAAACAACCATGAATTGATCGTTCAGTCTTCGACTACATTGACACCACATGTCGGAGAAAGTCGTCCTCTTCTTTGCTCTCTGATGCTGGTGTCCCTCACGGCGCTGTCTTTCCTCTTTTTCTCTTTTTTTCTACTTGCATGATTTATCTCACCCTGATGAAATGAACTTTGTTAAGTATGCCGATAATCTAACTATTTCAACGCCTGTTGACTCCCAGCTTGACTGTACTAGGATGAACAGCTTTCTATTAGGAATTAGCAAATGGTCTTCGTGTAACGGCCTTAAACTAAATCCTTCCAAATGCCAGACTGTTAATTTCAGTTTACGATGTAAACGAGAGTTAAATGAAGCCATTGGTTCCTATGACCCTTGCAAAATCGATGACACTGATATAGAAATCAAGTCTGAAGTTAAGTATCTTTGATTAATTCTGTCTTCTGACCTATCCTGGTCTTCCCATGTCTTAGCGATTTCTAAAACAATGTTTCATTCATTTTTTACATTTTACATTAAGAAGCTGAGGCGCTCGGGCATAACCCAACCCCTCCTCTTACAGTTTGTCAACTCGCGTATTTTACCTATTCTTCTTTACTGTTCACCCTTATTCTTTCCTGGATTGCTTAAAAATGACTATGTCATACTTTGTAGAACTCCGAAGACTGTCAGTAGGACCAGTGGTATCCCGTTGAGTCATGTAGTTGACATTGTCACGGATAGTCACTTGATGTCATGTAACAAATTTGTTAAAGGAATTTTGTCAGGCTTTGAGCACCCGCTCTACCCACAGCTCCAACTTTGTGTCTCCTCCTCAGGTAAAACAATAAGTTTTTCAGAAGAATTTATGCACGTATATCTAAGTATAAAAATTCCACTATACCATATTTAGCACGTACGTTATGTGATGAAAATGGTGTCAGGCATGAACTAACTAACCTTCTTCGCAGTACTAAATAAACCATTTCTTCCACCCTCACAGTACCAAACTTTATTGCTATTGTATTTCTTATATTTATAATCCTCTCACTTTTTTGTTTTTATTTATTTATTTTTCATAAGTGTGAACATCGTTTAAGCTGTGGTACCACTGTTAATCGTGTATTTCCCCTCACTATACTATATCTACAGAACATTGGATTCAATACTTCATAGTAACATAATAAAATTTTCAAGCTGAATCGACAATACTGTTTGAAACAAATTCATTGTTATTATTATATATAACTTTCTCAATTCGGGCTTCGAATATTTTTGACTTCATATCTTAAACGTGGGCAAATTCCTCTGGTTACTTTTGTTTCCCTTCTTTGAGCAAGGCATCACTCAACGTCGGTGGCACAGCGGTTAGGACGCTCGCCGACCATGCACATGGTCCGGGGTTTGTTCCCCGACCGACACACTCCTTTACCCCGCTAAGCCAGAAATAATGGTGTAACAAGTGAAAAGTGAAGTTTGACTCTGAAAAATGTGGAGTGCTGTGGCGCAAAAACATTTCCCCTGAACTTTCCGTCTCCCTAAACAACATTCGTATTCCTCGGTAGCTGTTTAAAACAGACTTCGGTTTGAAATACTCCCCAGAATTTAGCCTACCAGAATATGTTAGATTACAGGTACCAAAAGTTAGAAGGCTGCTTGTGTTTTCCTCCCAGACTTTAGGGCATGTGAATCCTCAATTCTGCCGCACAAGTTATGCATGTGGCCTCTACTTGAATTTTGTCCCCCTGTCATGGACAGGGCTTCAACGAAAGACAGGTGCGAATTCGAAAGTCTACAAAGAGTGTTTAATTAACGACTGGTACTTTTTACTGCGATTTGGAACTCTTATGGATCGGACGACTGAAGTTCACCCTAAAAATGTCTTTTAGGATAACTAAATGGCCTGTGCATTTCCACCACAATAACTTTACTTTTAGTTCAGTCCAGAAGTCAACGTTCGTCTCTTAATGTTCCTCATTGTCATACGAAGTACAGATTTAATTCCTTCACTGTGAAATACTACTGTGTTTGGAACCATCTTCCAACTGAATTAGAAATAGTTCTTTAGTAATAATAATTTAGATTTAATATAAACTGGCGTTTACAAGAACTGCATGCCACATTTACGGACATGATCAGTTATGTTATAAAATACAATCGTGAAGTATCATACATTAATACTTTTCAAAACTTTAAATTGTTCGATTACTGTACAAGCAACCAGATTTTAAATTGTAAACCGTTCATTAGGGGTCACCATCAAAGTTGAGCGGCAGACCGAACTTAGTTCCGTTTCCTGATGATGGTATGGTAAGTCAGTGAACAGCTTATAATTGGATAAGTGTTATGCCACTACTTGATTAAAAGCTATTTCAGAAAGAGGAGAGCTGTCAATTTAGTCGAAGATTGAACGATAATAATATATATTTCACATAAATTAAGCATTTACATGATTCACATACCGTTTGTACAGGCATGATCATATTTGACAAGTGCAGTCTGAAATTGAACACTTTTATGAAATGAAAATTTGGAAAATGAATAGAAAACTTTACAAGAATAGAATATAAGGTTTTGGTTTAATTCTAAATTATAATATTTAATACACTCATAGTGAGTCAGATTCATGCGGGAATTATGAAATTTTGCGTTAATGGAATGTAAGAAGAGAGGTGATGTACATGTGCTGGAGTAAGCCACACTGGATCCAGACCGTTATTTTTATCATTTTATCAATCAATAAGAGTTCGAAAGTTTATAAAAATCCACATTAGATGGTAAGTACAGCATTATATTGGTATTAGCAGATAGAAGGGACAAATTGGTCGCAAAGTTAACTTTGCGATGTTGAACAGAATTCAGAATGGAATTT